AAGTCCATATCACTTTACATATACTTGCCCTAACTTTTTTGCTGATCTCCAATAACGTATTTCCATCTACCATTCAGACATCTCGAATTCCATGAACCATAGACATCTTAAATTCAGTAGGTTCAAAATTAAACTAGTTATCTTTCCCTCTAATCCCTCTCCTCTATCTAGTGCTGATAAGGCAACATAATCCTTCTAGTCCCTCAGGCTCACAACCTAGGTATCCTCCTTAACCCTTTGGTATCTTTCACTTGCCATATCCAAACTGTTGCCAAGGCCTATCAATTTCACCTTTGCAACATGCCCCATTCTCTCCTATGATACCGCCATCACCCTGGTGCAAGCCTTCATCACTTCATGCTTGGGTGATAGCAATAGCTCACTTCTTGGTCTGCCTGCTATAAGTTTCTCCCAATTTAATTTAGCTGCCAAAGGGATTATTCCTAAAGTGCAGGTCTGATCCCTACTCAATAACTCCCTGTCACCTCCAGGATCAAATGGAAAATCCTGTTTGGTATTCAAAGCCCTTCATAACCTACCTTTGTAGTCTTTTTACACCTCTCTCTCTACCATATACTCTTCTTTCCAGTGACACTGGCCTCCTGGCTCTTCTATAAATAAGATGCTCTATCTCTTGGCTCCAAGCATTTTCTCCTGCTGTCTCCCATGCCAGAAACATTCTCCCTCCTTATCTTCAGCCCCTGGTTTCTCTCAAGTCCCAAATAAACTCTCATTTTCTAAAGGCAGTCTTTCCCAACCCCTCTTAATTCTAGTGCTTTCCCTCTTTTAATTATTTACTATCTATCCTGTATGTAGCTTGTTTATACATATTTGTTTCCTTGTTGTTTCCTCCAGTAGATTGTAAGCTCCTTGACAGCAGAGACTGTCTGTGCCTCTTTTTTGTATTCCCAGTGCTTAGCCTGGTGACGCACAGTAGGCACTTAATAAATGCTTATTAACTGATTGAAGCTCTAAATACATGGTTGAAATTTTGGAAGACGTACTCTAGAGCTGCTCTTTTGTCTACATAGACTACTGATGATTCATAAAGCTAGTTCTGAAGACGTTACATATTCTAGCTTCTCATTTCATTTTTCTTTGTCTCCTATCCTTCCAGACTTTTCTAGGATCTTTGCTACCACATGTTGCATGAATTTGCCAAGTGGAAAAATAACCTCTCCCCTTCTAAAATTCTTTAATTATCCTCTGCTACCCTTACTGTTATGGGAACTCTTGAGAAAGTTATATATGCAGCTGGTTTTCATTTTTGCTGCATCACCACACCTATGCTATCCATTAGTCTCACAACAAACTCCTCCATTCCCACTGGAAAGCAAGGAGATCTGGAAGTTATTGTACTGGGGGTGGAGCACATTTTTAACTGCTGCACAGGAATGTGACCCATTGTCAAAGGACCTTGAATACTGAACATTGCTTTTGTTTTGTTTGTTCCAAACTATTATTGTTAAATTTGTGATTTTGGAAATAGGCCCTCAGTTTATTTTGTAGCAAATATCAGCATTAAGACTTTTAGACTGTTCAGTCTTCTATTAGTGAAGGCAAAACATCCGTCACTATTTATTAAAAGGATCAAGCAGAGCTAGTGATCATGAATGTTATCATTAGTATAAAAAGGGAAAACTAAAGAAAATCCAAACATTTCTTTACTTGTATTTCCTTCAGTCCCTAACTTGTCACTAAGGAATGTTTATGAATTTAGTGTGTCCTAATGAGAGCTGAAAGATGCCTTTGTTTCAAAGAAGGATTATAACATAATCTTTAGTGAAATGCTAAACTGTTAGGACATGTACACTTCAGACTAATATGCTTTGGAAAGAAATTGTTATTTAGCTGACAGGAACTCCTTCATTCCTTCCTCCAAAATCCTGCCCCCCACCCCCAAATCCCAAATAGCTTTTGTTTCAAGAAAATATCCTAGGATACAAAAATGGCCAGACCTAAAGACACCACCAGATGGAGGTGGAGGCTGTGAAAGATGGAGCTAAGATATCTTCAGGGGATTATAACTTTATAGAGTAGGAAGCTTGGGGCCTGCTTGGGGGAAAGAGGATTTAAATTTACCAATGTTACCAAAGTGAAGAGGTCCAACTGAAAAAATTTGTGGACATTTCCTAGTGAGTCCTATTAATAACAATGGAGGGAATAAAAAATAAAAGGTTTTGGTGCTTAATGACTATGAAGGATACTTGACAATCTTTTATTTTTTTCTTTGGCGGGGGGTGGGGCATGGCACGGGAGGTCGTTAATCTCATGTCATTTCCTTGCCTTGGTATGTAGTAAAACATACCAACCCCTCTTATTCCAAAAATTAATGTCATTTAAGAATATTTCCAGTCTGTATTGACCCAGGAAACTGAAGTACAGTTGAATTGTGGATATAAAAATGTTTTCTCAGATGACACAATAGTCCAGAGGGATAGAGATTGGGAAGGTGGCTAACCCCCCAAGGGTGGTTGTAGATACCTATCATGAGACGTTGAAGGTGCTGGATGGCAAGTGGTGATTAGTGGTAGTTGCTGTTAAATCATTTCAGTTGCATCTGACTCTTCATGACCCAATTTGGGGTTTTCTTGGTAAAGATACTGTAGTGGTTTGTTATTTCCTTCTCTTGCTCATTTTACAGATGAGGAAACTGAGGCAAATGGGGTTAAGTGACTTGCCCAGGGTCACATAGCTAATAAGTGTCTGAGGCCAGATTTAAACTCAGAAAGAAGAGTCTTCTGGCCAGGTACTCTATCCACTGACTCACCTAGCTGCCCTGGTGGTAGGGAAAGTAGAAAGGACTTGGAGGTTATGCTAGAAAAAGAAAGAAGAGAGCTACTGAAAAAACCCAGGAGTAGGCAATTAACATTGATAATCAATCTGGTATAATTAGCCTGCTAGAAAGGCATCAGAATCAAGAACATGTGAAGATGATCAAAGCACACAGCTAAGAAAAGTGATAAAAAGCAGTTTGGAGTCCCTAAATAAAGAGGAACTGGTTCTGGAAATTTCTGTAGTTAAAGTCATGGACATACTATGGAGTTGGGGTTTAGGTGGTTTTGTTTTTGACCTGAAATCAAGGGATGGATCTGAGTTCCAATCAGAAAAAGATCTTGCTGATTCAGAGATCAGGGAACTGAGAAAAATATCTCAGGCTAAGGATAACTTAGCAAAGAAAGCATAGTGAACAAAAAATTAATCGGGTCACCTGGGGGAATACTGAGAAGAGACTGCATTACCATTTAAAACTGTCTCAAAATACTAATATGTGGTCCTTGAATTTGTAACCTACCTATAGACATTTGTTTCTCCAGCTTTCCTAGCACTGCAAGATACTCACTTAAAAATAGCTGCCTATTTGAGGCATAATGGAGTGAACTCTCTAGGAAAGACATAACAAAGAATAAGCCACGAATTCCAGGGATATGGTCCTTAGAAGAAAAAAAAACTAGCTTTGAACTTCTGAATAGGGCAGAAGAAAATTATTTGAATAAATAGTGGTGCGAATTGGCCAGGGAACCTGATGTTTGGTGAACATTAGATCTTGTGGTATAGTGAAAGAATACTGGAGACTGGGGTTCTAGACCTGTCCATGTCACTAATTAGCTATGGGATCTTGGGCAAATTGCTTAACCTCTCTGGGGATGGGCAGATTAGATGCTAGTCCTAATGTTTAATGAGAAGGCAATTTTTAACATTCAAGTTTTCTTTTTCTAGATGCCAAACATATCGACATGTTAAATTTCATATAACAACAGAGCAATCAAAGATATCTTCATGGCTTTAATTTAAGTGTTTCATAATTAATATATAGATATAGATAGTGCTTCATGTAAGTAGGTAGGTCTCTTCATAGGGTGAAGCAGAAAATATCTTTCTCAGTGTCAACTAAAATAAATGTGTAATCCAGGAGCACATATTGAAGTGTTATCACCAATACAGTGTAATTTACAAAGGCCTTAGATAAAGATTCCAGGAAGACCATGGTCAACTTCCCCTCCCCCACAAATAATAAATACCTAAGAAGGATCCTTGGAGCCAAATCTCATTTTCAAAATGTTTTTAGCCTCTCTCCACCCCTATAGTCCTCTAGTTTAATTTTAAGAAACAATAACACATTTGATCCTCAAGGTAATTTTGGTAGTGTAAATATTATTCTCCATTTTATAGATAAAGAAACTGAGGCTTGTCCATGCAGCTAGTAAATGGCAGAGGAAAGACCTGAACCTAGGTCTTCTGACTCACATCTAGCAATCTTTCCATCATCCTCAAGCATACCCAAAATCCCATCTGATTCAACATAATATTTTCATAACAAGTTATTCCAACCCCATGCGTACTGTAAACTTATAGTGCTGAATGGACACCATCAGTTGGTAAGCAATTTGCTGGAAAGGGCTCAACACAGAACTTTAGGGATAGGTGAAGGCCATTTGTGATTAGCTCTTCCCATTGTAGTTAAGTATTGGGATTTCTATTTAGTAGGTAAAAAACAAAAAAAACCAAAACACTGAAGAAATTTGTCATGATCCAAGCTTAAAAAACCATTTCATGGTAGAAGCAAGAATTTCTAATGGAAATAAAGGTACCACAAAAAGATACATTTTGTATAAAAATGGACCTACACTCTCTTTCACCTAAATAATTTCAGCTAATATTATGTTAATCACAAGGGGTCAAAAAAGACTGTTAGTGGAACTGCATTGAACTTTCAAACTATTTTTTCCAGGTCCTTCTAGAGAAGTTTTATGTTTTAAGCACTGGGGGATAGGGTATAGAAGTGAAGCTTGTGTCTTACCCTCTTAGACTTTACTAGCTAATAGGGAAAACAAGATAAGTGTAAGACAGATCATCACATTTTTTATGGGAAACTAATGACCTGAGGCTATTACAGAATATCCAGTTCCACAACAGGTTTTAAAGAGACTTCTAATGATGAGGGGTTTTTTTTACCCCCTAACATAAATACACACAGGATTTACAACACTGTTACTCACCTCTGGAGATGAAGCTGATTTCCTGCTGCTTTTGTGATTCAGGTGGCTCGCATTTGTAGTTTTGTTTCTTCGGGTTCCAACAGACAAAGAGTAGGGGGCTAGGAAGGGAAGATGGAATGTAAGAATCAAGTTAATGTTTCAAGATGAGACTTTTTTACTAAAACAAATTCTCTAATAAACCAACAACAAAAACATAAAACTTCTCTAGAAGGACCTGGAAAAAGCAACAAAGGATTTCCTTTTTATTTACAAACCAAAGCCTTCAGAACCATTAAGTAGTGATTTGAGACACAGTCCTTAAGCTCTTAGATGCTTTTTAAACTACATGAAAGGAAACTTTTAATTATCATTAAGTTTTTCATAGGCTGATTTTAAAAAAAACAAATATGATATTTCAAGTCACAAATGATCACAGCTTGGGTGGGGGAGAGGCATCTTGAACATGTATCTTTTATTATTATACAAACATTTTAGTTTGCAAATTAATTTTACCAGCCAGAAAATTTCCTCATAAATTTCATTAGGGGAGGTGCCAGGAGTCAACTGAAATACACCACATCATAATTTCTATTGTAATCCAAATTTTAAAAATATTATTTCTGGTTCTGCATTGATTTTCTTTTTCTACCCTTAGCTTTTGATGCTTGGTCAAACCATGTTAACGGTCTTAGAAACAAACAGAATGTTACTAGTTTTGCATCATTTGAACTTCTACATATATCACAGGTATCTGCAAAGTTGGGTGGTGGCTGTTGCTGTCCTTTGTTCTGGAGGAGAACCAAAATGGCATCATTATGTTAAGAGTCAAGTTACAGTGTGTCTGCTCAGATCTATGAGCTCAAAATGCTCTACCACAGGTTGGACACAAATAGTCCATGTGAACATTCGGGGTGAATTCTCTAAATTTGTGCATCTCGTGTTTCTTTTGAGCTACTTCTAGGCTGCTTTGCTCATATAGCACAGTGCTTTCTTTGACGCGGGTACACCATGCTGGGTAATCCTTTGCCAGCATCTCTCATGTCACACAACCAATTCAAAAGTTCTTCAGAGAAGCCTTGAGAGTGTCTTTGTAGCAGTTCTTCTGACCATCATGTGAGCGCTTGGCTTGTGTGAGTTCTCTGGAAAATAGTCTTTTAGGCAAGTGTACATTTGGCATTTGAACAATGTGGCCAGCCCATTGGAGTTGTGCTCTCTGCAGTAGAGTTTGAATGCTTGGCAGTGTAATTAGAGAAAAGACCTCAGTGTTCAGTACTTTATCCTGCCAGGTGATCTTCAGAATCTTCTTAAGACAATTCAAAAGGAAGCCATTCAGTTTCCTGCCACGGTGCTGGAATACTGTTCAGGTTTCACAGGTATACAACAATGAGGTCAGCATAATGGTGATCTTCAGTTTGATAGTCAGTCTAATACCTTTTCTCTCCCATACTTTCCTTCGAAGCCCATCAAACACTGAGCTAGCTTTGGCAATGCATGCATCAACCTCATTATCAATGTGTATGTCTCTGGAAAGTGTACTGCCAAGGTAAGTAAACAGTATTCAAAACTTCTTCATTTGCTATAACTGATGGTTCCACACAAGGATAGTGCAGTGCTGGCTGGAGGAGCACCTGTGTTTTCTTGGTGTTAATTGTTAGGCCAAAATACGCACAAATGCAAAGTAATTTTTAAAGAAACAATGAGTTTCAAAGGAATCAGAGTGATTATATGGGTAACAATTTTAATGAACATTCAAGGGCATCTCACACAGATAATCATTGTCCATTGTTTCAATTTGGAAAGAAGAAGAATCTTAAAGGTAGATTGAGGATTCTTTTGGAGGAGATGAGAGGAAAAGGGAGAAGAGGAGAGGAGGAGAAGTTAGATTAAATAGTAACTGACAAGAACTAAAGTTTAATGTGAAACTTGTACTTATTCTGAGCTCTTTATAGTTTTAATTTTGTTCTGTAGTGTTTCACTTGCTTTTTTTTTTAAGTAATAGAGAATGCTATCATTTTAATACTTTAAAGACCCCATTTTGCTATAAATTTTCCTCTGCCAAATACTTAGTAGATAGTCACCAACCCTCTGGTGATTACCTCCTCTGCATTTAGTCTGGTCATCATATGACAGATACTTAAATCTGTGTCTGGTTCTTTACTTTAAAACGTGCAGTTGTGGCAGTGTTAGGGAAGTCCAATGGCAAAGTCTCAGCTACAGTGTCACAGAATTTCAGAGTTGGAAGGGACTTCATTAGCCACCCAGTACAACCCATACCTGAAAAGGATTCCTCACTAATACATATTGATAAGTCGTTATCCAGCTTCTGCTCCAAGACCTCCAATGATGATGAACCCACTATCTCATGAATATTCTGCTTTTATAAAAGTCTACTCGTTAGGAAGTTTTTCTAGATATCAAATTTTAATTTTCCTTTTTGCTGCTTCCCCCCTTTTTCTACTGGTTTTCATTTTGCTGCTATCATGCATTGTCTGAGTTCTCTCTTATCTAGGCTAAACATCTTCAGTTCCTTCTACTGATAGTGACATGCACTCAAAGCTGTTCACTATATTGGTTGCTCTCTAATTTATCAGTGTCTTGTCCAAATGTTGTCTGATCATGGCAGAGTACAGAGAGATTGTCATCTACTTATTCCTAAAAGCTATGCTTCTCTTAATGTAGCTTAAAGCTGTTAGCTTTTTTTTTTTTTTGATTGCCACATTACATTGCAGAAAACAGCAGCATGAAAAACACAAGCTTTGGCACATTGCTCCCTCCACCTCAGGAGAAGATCCCAACTTCAAGATAAAGTTAAAAGTCAAGAAATAGGCTGGAAAATGAGCAAACAACAACAAAAAAGAACTTGACCAGAGAAAATTACTATGGTGACAGAGAAGATCAAAATAGAAACTCAGAAGAAATGAACAAAATCAAAACAGTAACATCCAAAGCCTTAAAGAAAAATGTGAGCTGGTCTCAGGGCCAAAAATTATTTTTGGAAGAGCCCAAAAAGGATTTTAAAAATTGGGGACAGCTAGATGGTGCAGCAGATAAAGCACTGGCCTATGTGACCCTGCACAAGTCACTTAACCCCAGTTGCCTCACAAAAAAAAAGGATTTTAAAAAACCAAATGACACATAGAGGAAAAATTAGAGAAAACAATGAGAGTGATATAACAAAATCATGAAAAAAGTCAACAGCTTAGCAAAGGAGGCACAAAAAAAATTACTGAAGAAAACAACACCTTAAAAATCAGAATAGGCCAAATGGTAAAAGAGACACAAAAATCCACTGAAGAGAAGGATGCCTTCAAAAGCAGAACTGGCCAAATGGAAAAAGATATAAAAAAATTCACTGATAAGAAGAAATCCTTAAAAAATAGAATTGACCAAATGGAAAAGGAGGTACAAAAACTCACTGAAGAAAATAATTCCTCAAAAATTAGAATTGGGCAAGTAGAAGGATAATTTAAGGATTATTGGACTACCTCAAAGCCATGATCATAAAAACAGCCTAGACAAACATCTTTCCAGAAATTATCAAGGAAAACTGCCCTGATATCCTAGAACCAGAGGGTAAAATAGAAATGCAAAGAATCCACTGATCACCTCCTGAAAAAGATCCTCAAATGAAAACTCCTAGGAATATTATAGCCAAATTCCAAAGCTCCCAGGTCAAGGAGAAAATATTGCAAGCAGTCAGAAAGAAAAATTCAAATATCGTGATGCCATAGTCAGGATAACACAAGATTTAGCAGTTTCTACAGTAAAGGATCAGAGGGCTTCGGATATGATATTCTGGAGGGCAAAGGAGCTAGGGTTACAATCAAGAATCACCTACCCACAGCAAAATGGAGTATAATTCTTCAGGGGGAAAAAAATGACATTTACAGAAATAGAGGACTTTCAAGCATTCCTGACTGAAAACAAAACAAAACAAAACAAAAACTGCTGAATAGAAAATTTTACTTTCAAATACAAGACTCATGAGAAGCATAAACAGGTAAAACAGAAAAGAGAAATCCTGGGGCAGCTAGGTGGTACAGTAGATAGAACACTGGCCCTGGATTGAGGAGGGCCTGAGTTCAAATCTGGCCTCAGACCAAACACGGGACACTTACTAGCTGTGTGACCCTGGGCAAGTCACTTAACCCCAATTGCCTAAAAATTTAAAAAGAAAAAAGAAAAGAGAAATCCTAAGGGATTCAGTATGGTTTAACAGTTTACATTCCTTCATAGGAAGATGACACTTGCAAGTCCTAAGAATTTTATAATTATTAAAGTAGTTAGAAGTATACATAGACAGAGGGCACAGGTGTGAGTTGACTATAATAGGGTAATATCTTAAAAAATAAATTAAGGACAAAAATGGATGCACTGGGGGAATGAAAGGTAAAATGGGGTAAATTATCTCACATAAAACGGGTATGAAAGAGCTTTTACAGTAAAGGGGGAAATGGGGGGTGGGGTGGCAGAATGTGCTTGAACTTGACTCTCACTGGAATTAGCTCAAAGAGAGAATAACATATACACTCAGTTGGGTATAGAAATCAATCTTGCTATACAAGGAAGTGGGAGGCGAAAGGGATAAGAGAAGAGGGGGACTGATAGAAGGGATATTAGGTTGGGGGGAGGTGGTGGTTAGAAGAGAAACACTTTTGAGGAGGTACAGGGTAAAAGGGAGAGAGAGAGAGAGAGAGAGAGAGAGAGAGAGAGAGAGAGAGAGAGAGAGAGAGAGAAATATGAGAAAAATAGGATGGAGGGAAATACAGAATTAGTAACCAAAACTGTGAAAAAAAATTTACAGCAAGTTTCTCTGATAAAGGTCTCATTTCTTAAATATATAGAGAACTGAGTCCCATTTATAAGAATACGAGTTATTCCCTAATTGATAAATGGTCAAAGGATATGAACAGACTGTTTTCAGATGAAGAAATCAAAGCTATCTCGTCATATAAAAATGCTCTAAATTACTATTGATTAGAGAAATGCAAATTAAAACAACTTTTGAGGTACCACCTCAAACCTATCAGATTGGCTAATGGGATAGAAAAGAAAAATGACAAATGTTGGTGGGGATGTGGGAAAACTGGGACACTAAAGCACTTTTGGTGGATTTGTG